GGCTATTGATTTGATCAGCTGCCTGTGCGCCAATCATTGATCCCCCACCCCCCCACCCCCTGGGGCCGGCAGGCGGCCTGGACACGAGATCGGCCCCCTCCAGCCGTGACGTCACCCCCAGGGCCCGTGGAAGGGAACCAGAGGGGGAGGACATGAACTCTACCATGAGCGGCTCCTTCAGTGACCAGGCTCGGCCGTAGCTACAGAGCAGGGCTGCTGCTGCTGTGTTGTCCCGCAATTCAGAATGAGAGGCGCTAAAAACGAACGCTGATGGCTCATCTGTTGTGTTTTTAATGCCCCTCAGGTTATTTCCATTACCTGCCCTTTGTATCCTTCTCTGGTATTCATCGCCAACAATGTGGAGATTGTGTGTATATCTCCTGTGTTCAAAAAGTACAGATTTCTTAAGGGAATCTGGGGGGAAAAAGCAACATCCATACTGTCTTTTTTCGACTTCCCTGACATGGTTTAAAATATTGTTTTGCTTGTTTTTCAAAACCCATGTGGATTCTATGACCTGGCGGTCTTTGGCGTGTCTAGAAGGGAGAAGGGGTTTATCTGGCCTTGAAAACAGTGTTTAAGAACACAGATGCTGTTAAGACAGATGAACGGTTAGCGTTCTTAATTAGAGGACTTCTAGTTAGAAGGCTGCAGATATGAAGAGGCTGTTTGAGCTATCGGGTAATCTGGGGATCCAAGGATCTGCACCAAGGATCTCATCCAACTGCTTCTTGAAAGATTCCTGGGAATCTGCTTCAGGATGAAGGTGCAAATAAACACTGTATCGCTGATGCAGGATGTTACCAATCCAAATTCGGAGTCTTCTTGGGTTTTGTCCTGTCTGAGCTCTAAGTGACGCAATTGAATAATTACGTTGCTTAATTAGTTTTTCTTTAAGGTGTTATCACTTTAGCTCCTGAGCACATTGCAGAGCCCATGCCAGCTAGAAAATTCAGTAATTAGCTCCACTATGTCATCAGTTTAATAGTTGAAAATTAGAGAAAGGGGGCTAAATAAGGGACCTTAATTAGTTTGACTCCTGGGGACTTGCTCAGGATTTAAAATAAAAAGACATGGGCTTACCCAAGCATCAGGAAATGGGGAAAAAAGTGCCTCCTGTTTTCTCCAGTCCTTCTTCCAATTTGTGGTCACAAGAGAGCCGGAGCCTATCCCAGCAAGCAACGGGCGCAAGGCAGGGTACACCCTGGACAGGACACCAGTCCACTGCAGGGCAGACTGTCAAACACACCCACTCACAGCAGGGCCAGTTTTCCCAGAAACCAATTAACTCACCAGCATGTCTTTGGATTGGGGGGGGAAAACTGAAGCACCTGGAGGGAACCCATGCAAACATGAGGAGAACATGCAAACTCCACACAGAAAGCACCCCGGATCTGGAATTGAACCCAAGGGCCCCAAGACAGCAATACTGATAGCTGCACCACCATACCACTCTGTTTTCTGCAATCTACCAGTTCTCTCAAATCTGCCCCTATTCAGTGCGTCATCATTGAGCACAGGTTACCACAGGCCCGGCTGTTGAATTCAGTTCTATTTTTGTATAGCGCCCTTCAAAACAAGTTGTCACAGGGCCCCTTCGCAGTAATTTCCACAGACTACACAAACAGGTTGGCACAATACAATAAATCAAAAGGAAATGAGCATAGCTGGGTTTAACGCAGTTTAATGTATCACAGAGGCTGTTAACGAAGATCTCTCCTCAGGAGCCCCGGCGCCGATTAAAGCCTGCTACAGCAGTGAATTCAGGTCACAAAGAGACGAATGTGCCAGAGCTCGCAAGGGGATCAATAATAATAAAAACAATCCGCCGGCTCGTTAATCAGATCCGTCTCTCACTTGCTCAGCTCGCTGGCTGTGCCTGCACGCGATACGCCGGGAATCGTAATGAGTGTGAGAAAAGGAGACATGAGTCATCCCTGGGCCGTTGTGCACTTTTCTCAGTCACGGGCAGGGCTCCTCGTTTTCCCTGACTGTATTTACTCCCACGACCTGCCTTTAAGCTCAGCAGCAGCTAGAAGCGCCCTTTTCCACAGATGGAAAGATTAAGATTAAGATCACTTTATTAGCCCTATACAATTTCTTGTATCAGGAATTTGTCTTTTCACAGACCCCAGCTTGCTGTCCATGAGACACACAGACAGGGAGAGAAGCTTGGGGTCAGAGCGCAGTGTCAGACATTTATACAGCACCCCTGGGGCAGCTGGGGTTCGGGGCCTTGCTCAGGGGCCCAACGGAGTAGGATTCCTCTACCAGCCGCAGGATTTGAACTGGCAACCAGGCACAGATCATAAACCACAGAGCCACAGCTCCACCAAAACCACTAAAACTCTGCTCATCGTAAGAGTCCTGCATAGGACGCTTAACAGATCCCACAAATCACAAACCCCAGAGTCCGTCTGCCTCGTATCTCAGACAGACTGCCATTGCCACAGAGGGGAGAGGACATGCCGTCCGCCAATCACGCACACAATCTTTAAAATCCTTGGAGATAAGAAAAACCTCACCCTGAAGCCAGGGGGCAATGAATCGCTCAGAACATAAGGAGGGTTATAAACGAGAGGTGGCTGTTCGGCCCGACTGGGAAGTAGGAGCTAATTGATCAAGCCGTTAAAAGAAATAAGCCAGGGTATCCGCCTTCAATAACATAGCAAGTTGGTTTGTTCCATTCTCCTACCACCCTTTGTGTAAAGAAGTGCAGGGAGGAAAGGAAAAGAGTTCATTTTTATTTTAGGAAATTATTAATTATTGGACTTATTAATCTTAGGACCTGAACAGGATGATTGAGCCACCCTATTCCCTTGACAAAAGCCCAGGTGTCTATTTACAGCAAACATCATCAAGGATCATCTTGTCCTTGGCCCTGGTCTGCATGTTTTAAAGGCGCCTAGTTAATGAATTAGAATCTTATTTGGGTTTAGGAGCTGCCCAAATGATGTGGGTAAAAGGGATTGGGGAAAAAAATGGGGGGTCCATTTTAGGTAAAGAAGATGTTTTTGTCTTTACACCCAAAGGGGGTTCAGAGAGGAGCCAGGAAGTTGAAGCACAGAATGGCTCAAAGATCCCCACGTCCCAGGATCTGTGCCAGCAGGAATCTGCTCTCTTGAGCTTCGTCAAGGACATAGACTGCAGAGTGAAAGACAAGATCTCACTCCTGGCCTGTAAGGCTCTGCGTGGGGTGGCACCTGATCATTTTTGTGACCTTCTCTTCCACTTGCTTCTAGGAGCCCCACTTTGATCTCCTGAGTCTGGCCTCTTATCTAAACTCGTTCTGCCATCACCGAAGATCGGGGTAAACACTGTTGATGCTGCATGAGTTTGTGCACGGTCGGCATTTTCGCTGTCAGGCTCCTACTTGCAGCAACACGGTGGCGAAGTGGTTAGCATTGCTTCCTCGGAGGCCCTGGGTTCAATTCCAGACTGTTCCAAATTCCAAATCTGCGTGGAGTTTGCATGTTCTCGCCAGATTCGTGTGGGTTTCCTCCCTCAGTCCAAAGACATTCTGGTGGATTCGTTGGCTTCTAGCAAAATTGGCCCTGGTGTGAGTGTGTTTGTGTATATGTGGCCGGTGATGGACTGGCGTCCCATCCAGGGAGTGTCCTGCCTTGTGTCCACTGCTAAGCCGAGTTAGGCTCCAGCTCTGCTGCCACCCTGAACTGGAAGAAGTGATTGGAAAAGGGATGGGTGGGTTTATAACTGCTGTATCTGTACTGTTTCACATCGTCAAGGACTGTGATTTTGCCTGCAAAAGGCAGCTACAGTATATATAATCAAGATCATCTCTCTTCTCTCAAAAGGAAAGCTTGCAGCTTCAGAGGGTGTGAGTGCTGTTAGTGGGCGTGTGCGCAGGGGTTACCTCATCGAGAATGCGGTTCTTGGCCCTTGTTATTGCCCCGTTCAGAGCATTGATCCAGGACTCCTTCTCCTCCGGACTGACTGCCAGGAATACCAGATTTGGGA